GACTACCTATTGAGTGTACTTTCATTTTATAACAATAATTCCAAAGTGCACGCTATCCCACAAATGGGCATCATCTTTTATAAAAATATATAAATGTACGTATATTAAATAATATTTCCAATTTTTAACTACAATTCAATATGAATAATGTGGTTTATAGGATCTTTGGTTCCCCTCCCGCGATCCCCCACCCTATGGGATTTAACATGGAATTTCAGCTTAAGTTCATGGCTATACTTTAATATGGGATTCTTGAGTCTATGGTGAATTAACATGGGATCACAGCATAAGTCTATGTCTATACTTTAACATGAGTAATGCTTAGTCTATGGCAATACTTCAACATGGGGAAACTCTCATTGGTTCAACATGGGGCCGATTTAGCAAGGGCTCTATTAATATCAAGTCTATGACAATGTTAAATTAATTGGACTAATGCTAATTCTATTGATAATGTTCCTTTAAATCTATCCGAAGAATGCATATTAACTTCATAGAGTTATGGGTAAATCTATGGCAAGTCTATTGTAATAATATAAAACATGTTGATAATGCTAATCTATTCTAATCTTAGCCCGAATAGTGGTTAACGTATAGCATTGTTATGTGATCCTTGTTTGATTTTTATAAAATTTTGCTATCATATACTTTAATACTTCTGTTACGAATAGGATACACGTACTCTCTCCGACTCCCCTTAAGTTAAACCAATACCTTGACAAATTATTGTAGTCCTGGTCAGTCTATAACGGACTCGTTTTTAAAAATTAACATTCAAAAATTTATTAGTGTATTATTGTAATTAATTGTTACATTATTAAGCTCACAAAGCCTGATTAATATACTATTAATTATACTTAAATAATATCAATAATTTATTGGAGATTAATTGTCATTTTAATAGTATATTGCATACAATACAATATATCGATAACATATTAAATTAATTATAAATATTGATATTTGCTATATAAATTGATGTTAACAATTTTAAATATTAAAATTATCGGAAATTGATGACAAATTTATTATATTATTTATTTGGATAGAATGACATTTTTTTAAAGAAAAATGTTTAATAAAAAGACTAACAAATTTGTCTAAAATGACCTTTTTACATAATATTACTCATACAATTTAACTTAAATTTTCAAGCAACTTCAAGCATGTCAAATTATTGCATAACTTTTCGTGTTCCCTTATATTCAAAACATATTCAACAAATAAATGCAACCAAAATATTGCAAATATTTTTATTTTAAACATTAAAATTAAATAGTATTATTTGTAAATTTTAATTTACTATAGTTATAATAAAAATGATATATAGAAATTAAAATTGTGTGTGAGAAGAGAGGGAGAGAGAGAGAGAGAGACCAATCGAAACTGAGTTCCATAATTATTGTTGATTAACGTGTTTAACAATAACATGCACATTAAGGTATTGCATTAAACACATTAATTCGATTGATAATCATTTGAGATAACTGATCAGTCGACAGATGATCATCAACCTCCTCAGCGATTGTCAGTGGATGTTCGGCCACCCGTAGGTTGTTAGGGTTGTAGTACAGCTCGAAGTATGTGTCCGTCAACGCCTCGTCAACACTAATGCGTAAATTAGGGTTAAATGTTAACAAACGGTCCAATAGTTCCAGGGCTTGGGGGTTAGCCTTAAGAAATCGTTGTGCCCAATCAACTTGATCTTTTACTGGTCGCGAGATTATCATAGCACGTATATATTCGTTAGTGATCCAGCTCACATCTAGATCGCCACCCAGGACATCTAATATGCAATTAACCTGTTGGTAATAATGTTGACCAGGAAATAGTGGTTCACCGGACAACATTTCGGCGAACACACAACCCACAGACCATACGTCTATCGAATTATTATAGCAACTCTGGGTCAGCATAACTTCAGGAGCTCTGTACCATCGGGTAGTCACGTACACTGTATGAACGCCATTATGGTCGTACTGGGGATCAGACACCCGTGCTAAATCAAACTCACATAGTTTAAGGTCACCGTTGTTGTTGACTAAAATGTTTGCCGGTTTAATGTCCCGATGCAACACATTGGCCGAGTGTATGTACTTTAACGCACGTAGTATTTGATAAGTGAAAAATGCTATTTGGTCATTGGATAGCTTTGTCATACTCAACATCGTGGCTAAATTAAATTGCATAGGGCTTTGCACAATGTATACGTGCTCGATAGGGATGGTGTTACCGGATTTGTACCTCAAGTCTTTGATGTCTACAATGTTTTCGTGGCTGAAATGTGTGAGTATTTTAATCTCTCGTAGTAATCGCTGATATAATATATGAATGAGTTCATCTTAAAAAGAGGTAACATTTTGGTTGAATCATAGAGATCAATGGTTATTAACACTTAAAATATGGAGTAAGTAAAAAAGTTACCTGTTTCTAAGATGAAACGTTTCATATGTTGATCCATACACGATATCCTTTTGATTGCCACATTCTGTTTAGTTTGGGTGTCGACCGCTCGCCATACTGTGCCGTACGATCCACGAGCAAGGTACTTTAATTGTGTGTACCGTGGTGCCAACGCATGAATATCATCATTAGATACTTTCATTATTGTATATAATTGTAATTATATTTGAAATTAAAATGTTGTAAAACTTATAATACTATTCAATACAATTGTGAAAAATACATGATGGACTATTTATACCAATGGAAATTGTCTAATCAATATGATTGTTATCACATGTTGAATATATATTATAAAGTCTTTCCATAGTAGGCCAGTCAATATATCTCACACATGGAGTTTTGTGAATTACTTTTAAACTATGAGAGATAATTCAATTTTTATATAACAAGCCAAAAACGCTAATCGATAATCATTACAATATTTAGAAATTTTAATTACGTGGCATAGGTAAAATCGGGACTTTTTGAAATTTATTTAAATTTTTAAAAGTTGTTTTGAAAAAATGCTGTTATCTCTTGATAAAACTGTGAATAATTGACGATTAACCATTGTATTAATCTTAATAATAGCATTGTAGATTAAGCATGACGGTTATACGTGGCAGTGCAATAAACGTAACATCAACTCATTAGATTAGCATTTTCATGTACTATTTAATATATTTAGCATTGTTGTAGATATTACATTAATCGTGAACTGTATTCCCCTAAAATATTCTCACTTATGATTGCGTTTAGTTTTTTATACTTTTTATGTCGTTTTAGTCAGTTTTGATATTTAACCTAATTGTTTATGTTACTATCTGTTTTAAACTTAATCTTAGGGATTAACTCTTACTCGGAGTTAATCCCCTTTGTTCTCAATAACTAGGGAATTGCATTTAACTATACCATCTATTTTTAGCGGTTAATAGTATAAACCCAGACTCGGGATGTGAACCGATCTTGTATTAGGGTCAGTTTACCGAAAGTTTATTTTACCTATATTTAACTATTTGAGGCGTTCGTAACTATTTGAACGTTTATTACCTTATACGTAACTATTTCATACATTTTTCAAGTTTTTGGTATAATTTAGCATAAAATTCTAAGAAAATCACAACTTAATCTACATTTGTTAGTTAGAAAAAAGTTAAATAGAGTAAACTATGATAAATGTAAAAGTTACTATAAAATATTGCAATAATTTATCATTCAAAGCAATGGTATGACCAAAATTATAAGTTATATTTATTCAGGGTTTTGATCAAAATAATTAAAAATATTCTTAACAACAGTTAATTTAGTTAAATACAAGCGATTTAACTTATAAACAGTGATATTTAATGTATTAAAGAGTGCAACTGACATTTGGTAATATTTAATATAATTTTAAATCCTATTTTGTCAAATTATAAGTAACTATTTGAGTAACTATTTGGGGTGTTTTTCGTAACTATTATAGTAACTATTTGGGGTCTTATATTTAACTATAATGCAATTCTCTGTCAATAACCATCAATCTTGTATATAAGAAGCAGACTGTGGTTTCAAAACCTCAGTTTTCTCCCACCCGTCTAATATAAAACAATAAAATACTTTAAGTCTTAACGCTGTGTCAGGTAATTTATTGCGTCTCACCCGAAAAGTGATCCGCGATATACTCTTTGGACCACGACTGTGGACAAAACAAACATCAACACGCGTTACGGCGTGAAGCTCCTCGACCTGCCGTGGGCTTTGCCGTGAAGGCCGCGAGAACCGCAATTACTAATAAAACTAACAGTATGTTCGCGATCAGCGTCGAAAATTTCAACCCAATCAACATTCCCCAGAGCTATTAAACCACGATCTACATCACCGAGAAGTCAGCTCGCAATACATTTATCCATAGGATTAGCATTGAAATAGAAATATTGCACAATATTAATTATTTATTATAATATTATCACAAATTTTATAATGAAATATTTTAAATCTTTTATACTTCTTATAGTTTAAATCTGTAGCAAAGTGTGTTAATTCCAAATATACCGAGTGACCAAAAAACTAGCTTTTATAACATTATAATATACTTTTTATAAATTGTATTATTTTTATTAAAATTAATTGACCAAACCGTATGTGCAAGATACATTGACTGATTTTTTTGCTTATAACCTTGTTATTATTAATTTATATTTTGACATTTATAATGTTTACAATATAAATATGTATCCGACAAATACAACGCAAATTGCAATCTAATTTAAGTACTTATCTGAACCTTGAGTTGATTTCATTAACATTAGCTTATAGTCTTATCATTAGCCATAAAACCAAAATTATATCATGAAATTAAGCTTTTCGACAGACTAAATCAATTTATAAAATACGTATGTTAAATCTATGGCAATGAATAGTCTAATCACAATTTTAAGTTAATGATAATTCTAAAACTATTTAAATTGACAATGCTAAATTTAAAAATATTTTTATTAGACTATTGTTAATCTTATGTTACTTATATTAAATCTATGAAAAATGCTAATCTATTTTTTGTGTATTACCCTAATTGTGGTTAACGTATAGCATCGCTGTGTGTGAGTAGTACCCCAATGTCCGGAATTTTGATATCTTAAAATTAACATATCCAAAATTATACTATATTATGTTCAGATAAGTACAATTAG